GGAGCGATTTTTAAAATACCCCAGGTAATCAGAGACAAAGTAAAAGCAGCCCTCCAATAGTAGTTGTTTAATGGATTGTTTGAATTTATTCATACTAAGATCTTTCAGCTTGACTGGTAAACAGTTATATAAGTTGTAATCCAAAGAATTTTTTTGTGATTTAGCTAGGCGATATCGATTTGTACAGATCTTTTCAGCGTTTCTCGTACGGTACTGATGAATATTAGAACGTTTAGGTAAGGTACTCACAATTCTGTGGATTTCTAGCAAAACATGAAAAATGAATAACGTTGGTACAGGCATTGTTGCGTCTTTATTTGTAATTTTCTGTTTTTATTACTATTATTATTGTTGGCATGGAGCGACTTCTAAGGGCGCATGCTCAAAACTCAATTGAAGTATGCTTATCTATCTAAACCACATGAATAGAGACCTACCTACGATCTCATGTTAAGTACGCTACGGGAATCGCTATTATTTTTGCTAATTACTTATTTCACCGTGTGTGCTCTAGACTCTGCGTCATCTTCGACTGTTTGGTAACTCATTTTAACTTCCTGTTTTGTTGTACAATCCAGTGAAGCTGAAAAAAGAACACTCCAAGAAAGGGCCCTTTCAGAAGCAGGGATTTGTGCTAGGAATTCGGTGAGTTCGCTTTATGCCACAATTCTTACAGTCCACTCTTGTTTTCATTTTTATTATTTTTTAAGTATTCGAAGACGCGACAGGCATGATACCTAGGTTTTTGAAAATTGGCTGACACGGTTCCCGAAAACCTACATCTGCCACTATTCGAATAACTCGTTTTTGTAACCTAAAGATATTGAGAGAACCAGGTGAGTTTCCCCAAAGAACAATCCCATAACCAATGTGAGAAAGAAAAAGCGAATAACACGTAATTTTTAATATATCGAAGCTGGTAATACTTTGAAGTTGTCGTAGAACATGAATAGTGATGTTTAACTTGCTCCTAAACTGATTTGTATGATGATGCCAAGATAAGGTATTGTCAAGTGTTATGCCAAGCAATTTCACGCTATCATTTGAGGGGCCTACAGTGGAGAATTGAAGGCGTTGTGTCTTATTGGTATTTACTTTCAAATTATTTGTTAGAAACCAAGTATTAGCTTTATTTTCAATGTTTCCGATATTTCTCTTAGTTTGTTGATACTATTTCCACTGTGGATAAAGGTGGTATCATCAGCATAGAGAATTGTTCTATTTACGTAGATGATAAAAAGTAAGGGCTCAAGGATAAATCCTTGAGGGACTCCATGTACTACAGGTTTGAAGCTAGAAATGGTGTTATTGCAAGAGAACAGCTTGATATCTATTTGTGAGGTACGATTTGATAAGTGTTAACAAAACTCCGCTCACCCCATAAAATTGTAATTTTTCAAGTAACAGCGTGTGTGACACGCAGTCAAAAGCCTTAGATAAATCAAAAAGTGTAATGGCAGTATGCAGTCCATCTTCAAGGCCATCAATGGCATATCCAACTATATCTAAAACAGCCTGCGAGGTGGATCTTTCTTTGCGGAAACCATATTGGGAGTTTGAGAAAAAATTTGTTTCAAAATAGGAATATAGGCGTATTTTAAAATTATTTCAACAATTTTACTAAAAATTGAGATAATGGAAATAGGACGGAAATTACCCAAGGAAAAAATATCTCCTTTTTTAAATATTGGGATCACTTTGGAGAACTTGAAAGAATCCGGAAATATGCCTGTTTCAAAAATCAGATTTACTGACATGGTTAACGGGTATAGTATGATGTCGAGTGTTTTCTTGATAATGAAACTATTCAAATCTTGGGCATTTAGGCAGTTTGGATCTTTTAGAGATTTTACCGCTTCTGTGATTTCAAGCTCAGTAACGGGCTTGAGAAAAAAGGTGTTGCAAGGAGCTGGAAAATGTTTAAAGTTTTGTAAATCAGATATGGGTAATTTAGGTAAAGATTTTCGGCATTAGCCACAAAAAAGTCATTGAAATTTTCCGTTGAGATATGGGAAGCAATTTGACAAGTTCTTTTATTTCCTTCGAAATTGATGATTTTCCAGCAAGCATTAGATTTATTTTTTGCTGAACGAATGTAATCATCATAAGCTCGTTTTTTAGCAAGTTTTATTTGCTGTTTATAGTCCCTCTTCAGGTACTTATATAGCTCAACATCAGAATAATCTTTGCTCACGTCAGCTATAAGTTTGACGTTAGTCAATGTCTTTCTGAAAGTTTTCAAGGAATCGTCCAACCAGATTGATGGAGATTTATTGGTAATTGGTGTGGATTTCCTTAGATGCATGTGTTTGTGAACCAAAGAAGTGTACCTTTTGGACAAATATGAAGCAAGCATATTAACATCGGTAGAGCTTTTAAAGCTATCCCAGCTCGTTTCCGAAAGGGAGGATTTTAGTTTATTCAAAGTTGCTTTGGTTATTCTCCTGGAATAATTAGTTTCATTGATTAGTTTAGGTTTTTCATTTAAAATGATATATTGGGCCTTGTGGTCAGCTATACAGGGTTCAAAAACTCCTGAATCAAAAGTATTTTTTATAAATAGTGCATTACCTCCATGTTCTCTTATTCTTCTACAAAAATGTTTTGCGAGAATATAACCATCTAGACTGATATTATTGATAGTTGCTTCTCTCTGCCAATGCTCAGATATACCTACTATGGCAAAGTTGAATTCTTTTAAATAAGCATTGAATACTTCTATTTTGGTTGAAATACACTGAGCATTTACATGGAACATACTCACCGTGTCTGAGTCGTTAACAGCATTTACTTCAAGTTCATTAATTACTACTCTTGGATTAGGGCGTCGGAGTTCATTTGAAAATTTTCTTTAAATTTAAAACGTCTAATAACGGATCCCTTGAGAGATAGATGACATTATTGAAGCTATAACAAAAGCATTTGATACCATCAATTATAAAATACTTTGTGCTATATTAAATTTTTTTAGGTTCAGTGATGGATCAGATATCTAGATACTAGATTACAAAAAGTACAGATTCATGATATTTCTTCTACTTGGAGAGAAGTTAAAACAGGAGTACCCCAAGGCAGCATATTAGGCCCACTGTTTTATACCCTCTATACTGCCACATTCATCAATAAGATGAAGTCTTGTAAATATATGCAGATGACTCTCAATTATATTTATCTTTCAAATTTTAAGATACAGGTCAAGCAGTAACCGATATAAATTTTGATTCAAATACAATTCTAAAAGTGTCCACTGACCATATGTTGAAAATCAATCCATACAAATCAGTAGCTATTATTTTTGGAAGTGGAAGCATCAGGGAATGAGTAAAAAATCACTGCTTGAAAATGGAAAACTCTGAGATACAACTCAGACCGTGTTAGAAAAATTTGGGGTTGATATTAGATCATAAACTAAGATTTCATGAACATATAACCTACAAACTTGAAATTGCTTATTCATCATTGAAACTCATATATCCCCCTAGACAATATTTGGATGTAGATGTCAAGAAAATGTTATGTGATTGATTAGTTTTATCTCATTTCAACTACTGTGACGCTGTTTATCATTCATGTTTGGACAAGAACAACAGGTGTCGCATACAAAAAGTTCAAAACTCTTGTATCAGGTTAATATTCGGTATCAGAAGAAGGTCCAGAATTTCACACAAATTATCAGATTTGAGGTGGTTGAATATGTTTAATCGTAGACTTCTTCATGCAACATGCATATTCTTTAAAATATTCAAATATAGGAATCCTCCCTACTTACATGAACGTTTAAAGTGTTTTTATTTTTCTCTCTCTTGTATGTTGTCATTTGTTATTATCTTGTATTTTGATGGGCAATAAACTTATTATTATCAATAGACCCACTCACTTTGAATCCAACCTAACCTATGTAGGTGCATCATTTTCCGGACTTTATGTCAAGAAGACAGCTCCTCTAGGGATTATTTCACTACTCCAAATGAGTGTAGTAGGTTTGGAACGACAAGCATATTCACAGCAGCGACTTTGTTTCTCCCCAACAGTTTCGATGACCAAATTTGTCGGAGTTTGTGCTGATACTTGCCGCGGAGACAGTTCTTCACTGCCCAATTCTTCTTATCCTTTCCGATGATCCTCTGATGTAGGGAAGTGCAAGCACTGATTGTGGCGGCTTCTCTTCCTTGCGAGGCTCCTGCTGTCTTTTAGCCAAAGTCTGTTTCACCATCACTTTGGAGTAGCCATTCCGTTGAAGATCATTGTTGATGTATAGTTCCTTCTCGAGACCTTCCTTCGTATTACAGAGCCCAAAAGCACGGTCTAATAGAGTCTTGTTGATTCCTCTTCTAGTCGATTAATGGTGGTTGGATTCGTGGTTCTGATACTGTCCCGTGTGAGTGGGTGTCAAGTATACAGATGTTTCCCACTCAGTGTCGGTCCTCTTCACCAATACGTCTGAGAATTGCAATTCGTTGTGGATTTCCTTCTCCATTGTGAAAGTGATGGAAGGTCTTACGCTGTTGATGTGTTTTAGGAAGACGTCCAGCTCAGTATTTCCATGTTTCCGTATCATGAATGTGTCGTCAACGTATCTCAACAAGACACGGGGTTTCTTGTGGGCTTCTTCAATGGCCAGAGTTTCAATCCACTCCGTATATATGTTGGCAATGACTGGTGAAAGTGACGATCCCATTGGCAGTCCCTCATCTTGTGTGAAGAATTCGTCCTTCAGTTCATAGTTGATCTTTCTGCAACCAATTTTGTTTTGTTTTCCTATTCATTTCTATGTTCATTTTCACATGTCTAACTTCTTTGTTGGGCATATCAATCTATTGAAACTAATCAGAACTGGGTCCATTCTTTCATCGAAGAGTAAACGCAAAAATTTGCTTAACAGACGAAAAATAAAGCTGACGCCTAGTATGTCTAATTAGAGATATCAATAATTTGAAGGATTGTGGGTATTTTTTGTTATCTCTGTATGATCTTTGGAGTGATTTTGAAGTGGCTATTATTTCGACAAGAACAGTATAAATATATAATGTTTCAAGTATCTCCTCATAGTTGCGTCCTGCTGTTTTCAAGGTGAGATTGATATAAAATTGCTTTTACTTATTTCTATTGAAAATTATAGTATTTTTTCAGGTTTCTATCATCTCTCTTCATGTATGCTTTCATGTATGTTTATTTTGAAAGGTTTGATAATAATGAAAGTTATAGTTTGAATGAATTAAATCAATTTATCGATCTTAAAACGATTGAAAAAATGTCTGTGCAACAAAAAATAAAAAATCTCTTTCCACGAGTGTTGGAAAGCAACGTTATTATCACCCAAAATACTAATAATTCAATTCAATTGTTTACTTACAGAGAAAAAAAAAACAGAATGAAACTTTTTGCCTTCTTCGCAGCTGTTCTGTTGGCGGTTGATGCTTCTACTGACAAGGACCAATGGGTGGCATTCAAGGTAACCAGTTTTTCATAAAAGGGTTTTGTGTTCACCNCGAGTCTTGAAAAGCAACGTTATTTCTACTTAATTTATTATTGATTCAACTGATCACTTTCAAAAAAAAAAACAGAATGAAACTTGTAGCCTTCTTCGCAGCTGTTCTGTTGACAGTCAATGCTTCTACTGACAAGGACCAATGGGTGGCATTCAAGGTAACCAGTTTTTCATAAAAGGGTTTTGTGTTCACCATTCGTATAAATGTTTCTTGTTTAAACAGTTCGGAGTTGAATTATTCGCAAGTCTTTTAGAAGAAAAAATGTCTAAGTGGCTCATATGCCTACCTCCAAATTCACTTGATCTTTTAACAATTGCTGATAATATATTTATCACCTCTAGGACATCAAGTAATTTATGAGTATGTTGAATACAATGTCAATGATCAACTTATCTATAAATCACCTCTCCTTCTAGAATTGATATTGTATTATAATGGTTTTTTCAAAATCTATTTGTTCTACAAAGAACTATTAATTTTCCTAATCGAGTTTGTAAATACCTACTGTTGGATTGAATACTTATTATCATAAATAGTATCCCAAAATTATTGAAAATAAGTATTTTAGTCCATTTCCCTCCAGAATCAAAAATCAAAATTATTCATTGCATATTTCCCTATAACGAATCTAAGGTCCAATGTACAGAGTATATACAGTGCATTTCTTTAATGTCCCCTCCTTTATTTTTTGAACTTTATTTTGAACATGAAACTTTCAAGATGGCGACTGGGCGCCATCTGGGAAAAAATTCTTGTCTTGTGACACATCATTTTGAAGCTCCTGAATATGAAGTCAATATCTTCACCTACTACACAATGGCGGAACTATCAATAATTTCCTAAAGACAAACTCATTATTGTTTGAAGGTGATTGACAATGTTTCATGATGAATTTCACTAGTTCGGACTTCCATTGTCTACTATACAAAATGATTTGAAATCCCTGAAACAACTAAAAAAGAAGAATTGAAAATGAGTAGCTGAAAATAATAATTATATTAACCAAAATAAACCTGAAATGACTATAAATAGTCATCTCTCGGAGGAATCAGTTCAGTCATCACCCGAAGACGATTGTAGATATTAACAATCGAAACGTCGTGAACTAACGTGACTTGGAATCTCTCCACTTTTTATTTTCATTTTCAAGGCACCATACTTGGTCCAATTTGTTTCACAGTATATCTTAATAACTTTATTGGGAAAGAAAAGTTTTGGCTTTCTACTACTCCATCCAGGGAGGATGGCAGTGTTCTATGTAAGAGCAATTCGTTACCATTCATTTAAAGTAGAACTCATGTGAATGATATCTGATTTTCATTACATAACGAATGTTTGAAATACAAAGTGAGTAGTGAAAAATATCTTCTGTAGAATTTTTTCATTCATATAATTCAATGTTTATATGAAAGTAACTGTTTCAGGAGGACTTTCTTTCAGTTTGTGTCTTAAAGTTACTTCTTTGCATGATCTACACATCCATGTATAGAGTTACTTCCTTCCTTTTTTTGGAAGACTTCCTCATCCTTCTTTTTTTTGTATCAAGATGGAGTAGTAGAAAGCCAAAAATTTTCTTTCCCAAAAATTAATCACTCCTAAAAAATATAACCTCTTCAATTCAAATCTTAATAACCTGTTTAATCTCTACACTGATGGGACAATTATAAGCTACGCAGACGACACAAGAGTTTTTTAAGAAGCCGAAAACTGGAACTCGCTCATCACTAAAGCACAAAATGACTTTAAAACAAGCATTGACTGGCTCAATTTCAAACTATTGACTATAAATTATTCTTAAACAAAATATTTAGCCTTTTCGGTGAATAATAACGGTGAATACCCCTTGAAATCAGAGGTGAAAACAGTATCGTGAAAATCACACAAGCTACAGAAATAGAGTATCTCGGTGTAATGATAGACAATCATTCAAAATGGAACTTACACATTAGGAACTTAGTGCAAAAAATTAGAAGCCTATTGTCTAAATTCAAATATTTAAGAAACATTATTGAAGAAAAATATCTCATAATGCTGTACCTATTGCGCATTAGTGGAATACCAACTGTGATATGGCATAATAGCTTGGAAAGGGGCATATAATAACATTATAAACAATGTTGAAATAATTCAAAAATGGTTTTTTAAAATAATATTCAGAAAACCAATTACCTACCCACCAGATGACCTTTACAAGCTTGGCAATATCGTATATGTAAAACAAATATTTCATTTGACATTTGCTGTTGACCAGAAAAAAACCGGAGCAAAATATTTCTAGATTATTCCTACTCCAAAATGTAAAAACAATCAACATCTTAGTTCCACATGTGACTAAAACTATATCCCAGAGATCTAGCATGTTTCTTGGGCCAAAGATATATAACAATCTACCGAATGAATTGAAACAACTAAAGTCATTATCTCTGTTCAAGAAGAAGCTGAAGTTATGGCTCATATTAAAATCAAGAATTTCAACACATCGATATGAAAAATACATACTATGATTGATATTAAAGTTAGGGCTATTTAAAATAATTTCTTTCACACACTCGTTCTGTCAGATTTTTCCGTAGAAATCTGAGGCATGCCATCATCACATCAACACGAATTATACTTTCCTGATTTTGATGATCACGCTTGCCCCATATTTCATGATTGATTTATGACGTAAATATAACGTTTGAAACGATTCTTTTGTACTAATTATCCTTACTTCACAACAAATTATAGTTACAATTCGTATATTCTGCTGAATACTCCTAATCTTATAGTTATGATAACCTGAATAGTATTTTTATTTTTATGGAATTTTTGGTATTATTATTTAGTATTATTTCCTTGGAAAAAAATTATATTGTTTACACTTTTCTTAAGCCATTTTTGTTCCAACTTTGGTCTACTGCTCTTTTTATAATTAAGCTATATCTAAAACTCTCAAGCTAGTTGAAAACACATACCAAATAATTGGTAAGATGGTAGTAAATCCTAAACAGTCTACTTTATCCGTCGCGAATGTTTGTGAGGTGTCTCCTTCTAAGGTGTGGAGACTTTTGAAGAGGAAAAGGTATCATCCATACAAAATTAAAATAGTAAACCAACTAACTGATGGTGACGGTGATCGAAGAACAGAATTCTGCGAAATCATGACGGAAAGCATTGCAAGGCATCCCACCTATCTTCACAATATTTGTTTTAGTGACGAATGTACTTTTTTTTAAATGGCAATGTTCACAGACAAAATTGCCGTTATTGGAGTGACACCAACCCTCACGTTTTCCGGGAAACAAATACCCAATGTCCAAAAAAAAATTAACGTTTAGGTAGGAATATTGGGAAACCATATTGTAGGACCTCTATTCATTGATCAGAATTTAACAGGGGAACTGTATTTGAATATGCTGGAAACTACTGTTGACCCTCTCATCACTGAAAACGTCGAAGCGAATCCTAATGAATTGGATATGGATATCATATTCCAACAAGATGGAGCACCACTACATTTATCCAGACAAGTAAGGAACTATTTGGATACTATTTTTTCCAATCGTTGGGTCGGCCGTCGAGGTCCTAAAGTAGGAGTCTCCAAACTTTGAAGCCTTCAAGCCAAAATGATTTTTTCAGTTTGTTCCAAGGGCCAATTTCTGCCCTTAACTATATTTCTAGACTAGGATAGTCGCAAAGTGCGTGACCTAAGCAAACTTAAGCTTTTTTTGCATTTCAATTATTATTGTGTATTGTGACACTTAACAACACCTAGTGGCGAGAAGTGATACTATGTACTATATTTTTCAGCTACCCACAGGTTGCATTAGGCGTAATTAAATATTTGGAATTACCGCGTTGGTTCGAGAAAGTTCTGGTCCTAGCTAGTGTATTCCGATCACCTCGAGATGGCAGTAATATTTGCTTATAAAAAGGCTAGCGGCGCATTTAACCCTGAAGAGGCACGAGCCTATAGCAGGGTTTTAACAAATACACCAAACAAATTGTAAATTACTAACCAAAATAAGTGAATAAACGTGAGTACTACTAACTGCGAGTTAGTCTGCGTAGGAAAGACGAAGGAAGCGAAACTGTCTATTGTGAAATAAAGTAACACCCGTCAATGAAAGTATTTTGATTTGAATTATTGTTTTTATGTGTGATTTGTTAGTATAGAAAAGAAGCGAAAAATCGACAGTGAATGCAGAATGTTCTAAGAAAAATGGAACTTTCAGTATTTTGCGATTGAGTCCAGTAATAAGGCGCTATGTTTAATTTGTAATGACACCATAGCCAAAGACTATAATATTAAACGACACTATGAATCGAAACATCTTCTAAGTTACTCCAAGTATACAGGAAGTTTACGGAAGGAAAAATTTGAAGCTTTGAAGTGCGGACTCAAATCGCAGCAATCTTTGTTTACAAAGCGAATACAGAACAAGAGTCTGCAACTCGCGCCAACTTTCGTGTGGCACTTGAAATCGGAAAACGTGGCAAACCATTCACCGATGGAGAAATGATAAAAGAATGCTTGATTGAATTTGTTAGTTATTAATATGCTTAAACTTAGATACTTAAGTTAAGTTTTCTTTGTCATCATTTCTGTCGTTAAGTTTTACCTTACAAGTAGATAAAACCGGGTAATTATCATTCTGTGTTTTCTTCTTCAACTTATCACAGCAATAGTAACAACAATTAGGTAATCATTGGCTGTCGCAGGCCAGATTGATGACAGTGAATCATTGGCTGTCGTGGGCCGGATCGATGACCCTGGCGGGCCGGATTTAGCCCGCAGGCCGTAGTTTGGAGACCCCTGTCCTAAAAGATGGCCAGTCCGCTCGCCAGTTTTGACACCTTCGGTCTTTTTTTTATAGGGCTATTTGAAGCAAAAGGTGTACGAAACTGAACCTGCTTCAATATTGGATATACGGCGCGGCGGATAATAATTAATATTTGTAGAGACATTGACGTTACTGTGTTCGAACATGTTCGGCGTGAGATATCGGATAGGCTGTTCATATGTCAAGAAGTTCTAGGCAAACATTTCGAGCATTTTCTGAACTGACCTCATAATATGTAGTTGAATTTCAATGTATTCAGGCAATTATAAAAAGTTTCGCCTTTTTGTAGTAGTTGGAGATATTGACATTATATTCCCGGGTTGTGAAGCATTTGTCAGGAGCTTCAAATTGATGTATCACAAGTCCCCCCTTTCCATTTGATTTTTTTCCCAGGTGGCGCCCAGTCGTCATCTTGAAAGTTTCATCTGTCAATTTCACTTCAAAATAAAGTATTCATGCATTAATTTCATTATCCCAAATTTAAATTCCTTGAGTTGACTCGTTCAAAAAATAAAAGTGAGGGGGTATTAAAGAAAAGCACTGTATACAATATTCACATTTCTCCCACAAACTGAAGTGGGTGGGGGGCAGGAAAAGAGTTGGTAAAGGAAAGGGAGATCAGCAGGATGATAATTTGATATCGAGCCCCAGGACGTCCACAGGGTGAAACGCCTCCTCATAGACCCACGACAGGCCGATGGGAGGCATCCCCGCTGGTTTTAACGGGTGGCTCTCTGCCCAACAGAGCTTTTTTTCAGCATCCAGTCTGAAACTTTTTGCTTCCTGCCGAAGCTCACGCGAGATTTATCGAGATGTTGCGATTCCGATACCTCATATCTAAGTGTACTAAGCGGGTGTTACAGGATCATCACTAGCTCTCTGGAAAAAGTTCATGAAAAAACGAACTACGCTGCCACACGCTCCATGCCCAGAATTAAAAAACGCATGGCATGCGCCAAGCAATATACGCCGACATCCTCAGCAACTTCTCTAACAGTGATTCTCCATAACAATTTTCTTCACTGTCCCAATTTTTTCATCGGTTGTTGACCTGCTGGGGCGTCCAGGGCAAGCTTCGTTAATCACATCTTCTCGACCTATCCTGAAAAGCTTGTACCACTTATTAACATTTTTATCACTCAGATTACACTCACCTTATGCCACTGTCAACATTTCAAGGGATTCTGAGCCCTCAATTCAATTCTTTACACAGAATTGGATACAAGTTCTTTGATTCATTATTTTTGGTAGCAGAAAATCGCTGAACCGGCAAAATAGTCTAATCAACAATTTCAAAAACATGAAAAATAGTGATAAAGGTCCTAAAAATATGAGCGATAGCTCTTTCGATTCGGAATCACCTCTAGAAAAATGTTTCTGAAGAATTTTGGTGCAGGTAAAAAATTGCAATTTTTATTAATGAAATAAGATTTTAAAAAATGGTATTAAGTTTTTCGTTGATAACTTATAAAATATCAATATTTGAACAATTTTGAAAAAAACTCGTTCCGATAAAAAAGTAACGACTCCCGAAACTCTATCTCCATTATTTATTATTTGAATTTGACGTTGAAAATGGGGTTCCGCGCGGCTGTTATGGCATGCCCGCGCTACCGCTAAAGAGAGTTCATCAAAAGAAACGTAAAATGTAATTTCAAAAATTTGAAAATAATCTAGTATCTTCTTAACACTTGAATGAATCGAGTCGCGTATTGGTAAATAACAAATTCTTTCCCAATCTTCGTTGGCATAAATAATGGGATAAAAGATATAAATAAATGGCCTGTGAATTTTAAACTTCGTGGAGCCCTTTTGATATATACTTCATATAATCCTGCGATGAAAGTTCATAAAAATTTATTGATTTTCAATTATGATTTTTTATATCTATTGCAAAATGAAATATCTGAAAATTGTTAATAACATTTTTTTTCAACTGATATTTGGCTACGTCTGTTTTCACATCGAACAATGGCAGTTATCAACATGGGATATGAACTTTTTACGTAATTTGTTTATTGAATTGTTTCAAACAAATAGAGAAATTCAGTATTTCTGATTTTTTTTTGCTGTTTTGTTGTCTCTTCAACGAGTTTTTTCAAAATTGCTCAGATATTGATATTTTATGAGTTATTTACGAAAAACTAAATACCATTTTTTTAAATCTTATTTTGTTAATAACAATTGCAATTTTTTACCTGCACCAAAATCCTTCAAAAACATTTTCCTAGAGGTGATTCCGAATCGAATGAGCTATCGCTCATATTTTCAGGACCTCTTTCTCTATTTTTCATGTTTTTGAAGTTCACCCTAGTTTTTCAACAGCCCACGTAAAACTGTTGGTAAATATATTCATGCACACATAGCATTGATAACAAACAGGAGAATCAGAGTACCCAGTATCGAGACTTGATATACACCCAGGTCAACACCAAAACGATCTGTTCTCTGTAGAGTAGGGAGGCTGAGTGTAAGCCCACAGCACTCAGGCCACATGTGACCCATTGTACATCCTCCAGAAGAGTTGTCCTTCTAGGTCATCGTCCATCCTGTCCTTTCCGGGAAGGTGGACAGGTCACTGGGAGACATCTCCTTTATATCGGCAGGTGTAGGCCGAGACTCGCCAAACACACACTCTCTCATTGACGATATTTCCGGGCACTCGCATAGGACATACCTGGCAGTTTCATCTTCCTGTTGACACATCCTGCATAGAGGTGTGTCCACTAGCCCCATATTATGGAGGTGTTTCCTTAGTTGACAGTGGTCAGTCAGAAATCCTACTGTAAAACGTAGATTTTTCCTGATCATCGCCAGATATTTCTTCGGCGCCAACTTCCCAGGGTTGCCCAAGGTGATTCTGGTAAGATTGCATCCTTTGATTCCATTTCATATCTTTAGGAATTGAGCATGGGTGTAACATTTGGGTAGTTCCGCAATTGTCGAAGTCATCAGGCCATAGGTGCCACTGGGTTCTGAAATTCTCAGACCAGCCGCTACCTTGGCTAAAGAGTCAGCAATGCGATTACCTTTACTCCTGTCGTGCCCTCTAATCCACCTCAGGATAATTTTATAATTTGCCGAGGCTTTGGCTGAATCTTGGTGACACTCTAGTCCTAGCCCTGAGGTTACACGTTGTCTGTTCAAGGCTTATAGGGCTTGTCTGCTGTCAGTGCAGATTGTTATGTTTTTGCCAGAAATTCCTTTCCTGGTTATTTCTTCTGAGGCGATTGAGATACCAGCCAGTTCTGTTTGGACCACACTGGTATTTTTTCCCATAACTCACTCAATCCTTAGGATTAGTGACCTGGAGTACACTACACATCCTGAGCCTTCTTTGGTTTTTGAGCCGTCTGTATAAATCCGTATTGCATTTGTAGCATCTGACTCTGTGTTCTGTTTTATATCTATTTTGTACGGTTCAACCTGGTTCAAACCCGGGTTCAATTGCATCACCAGTTGCCTGCAGCAGAGGTTGCGCAGTAAGCGCCATAGGCCCAGCCTCAATTGAGCCATTCCTACTTCAAGATTTACACCAGCCATGCGCAATCGTACCATAGTCATTAACGAAACCTCCTTAACGTACAGGTCCAGAGGGGTCAGACCCGTAATTAATTCAATTGCCGCGGTTGGTATTGTTCTCATAGCTCCTGTGATGTTTAAACAAGTCAGTCGCTGTATTTGATATAATTTTTGGATAGCCGTTGCTTGTAGAACTTTCGGCCCCCATGCAATGGCTCCGTGCGTTAACATAGTTCTTTTTATTGCGTCCAGGTGACCACACGGGGTGAAAGACCCCATGCGCGTCCCACTGTCCTCCGACATTGCTCATAAGCCACATATGCTTTTTTGCTCTACTCTGTAGGTGAGAGTTCCATGTTAGCTTCCTGTCGAGAATAGTACCGAAGTATTTCACCTCTTCAGAGAAGTTTAGTTTGATTTTGAAGACTTCGGGAGGTTTTAAGCCCGATAAACTTCTTTTCCTCGTAAAAAGGACCATCTCAGTCTTCTTGAGATTGTTCGAAAGTGAGTGTTCCTCACACCATATTTGTATTAATTTGAGTCCATCCTGCGCTCTATCGCACAGTGTGTTCACAAATTTGCCGGTCTGCAAGATAACTATGTCATATGCAATTGTGTAGAATTCATTATTTTTGAGGTGATTAATCAGGGTATCCAAAACTATGTTTTGGATATTCAATCTGTTTTTATCGGTTTCAGAAACTTTGATTCGATAGAGATAATAGAAATAACTTACTTTTCTGTAGCAAACCCATGGCAAAACCTACAAAAGTCTTCTAGAGGAAAGGACTAGATTCGGAATATTCCAGAACAATCTGCGAACAATCGAAGAACACAATGCCAAATACGAAAGAGGCGAAGAAACCTACTACTTGGGAGTTAACCATTTTGCTGACATGACACAAGAAGAATTCTCGCATATGCTCGGATTGCAGAATGGAGAAAGACCAAATTTAAACGCAACTCTTCACGTTTTTCCGGAAAATTTGGAAGTGCCAGAATCCATCGACTGGGTCGAAAAAGGAGCAGTCTTAGATGTAAAAAACCAGGGAACATGCCAATCTTGCTGGGCATTCAGTGCCGTAAGTAAATGATGAAGTAGATTAAAACGTTTTTCCATACTGCAAAATACCCATAAAACCCATAAAAGAAGAAATTATTAAATGATTGAGAGTAAAATTCTTCAGTTCCCAAATCGAAACTTAACTTTTCACTTGACGAAATGGTGCCATAGTTGTTTTAAAGGAAGTTTTTATGTTCCTCCAATAAAAAGAACCAGAAAAAGGATAAATGTCCATAAGTTTTCGTAGAAAGTGCCCCTAAAAAATTCGTTCGAAATATCTTTGTCTTGACTTTTATTGACAATTCAGTAAATCATTTTGAAGTTACCTCAAGAAGTGCTGATGAAAATTTCGACATTTCGACTGAAATATCACCCTTGCACTTTGTGCGACGTTTATCTGTACGATATCTGTTTCATATCAAATACGAATTAATGTTAAGAGTGGAAGGTGAGACGAAAACGTTGATTTTCCTGTGATTCAGTATCCATATATTTGGAAGACATTATTCCAGATGATTTTTTTCTTCGGGTTTGGAGAGAAAGAAACTCTGTCAAGAGTTTTATCTATGTATTTTTTCTTTGATAGGTTACTCTTCTGTGAGTAAATCACTTATTCACTCAATTCCACTGAGTGGAAATAAAAGTGAAAAGAAGTCTACAAATGTGAAAAATAAGTCTATTGGTCACCCTTATCCTAACAAGTCACCTTTTCCCTGATAATTCACCTTCCTCCTGAGAAGAAGTGAGTAGAAATGTGAAAACCATGTCTATAAATTTGCCAAGCTTAATAAAATTAATAAAAATAGTCATTAATTTCCTTAAGACAGTTACAAACCATATGGAAAAAGTCAGTTGCTTACATTTAAAATACAATAATACCAAAAAAATGATTTCACCGCAAATTGCCACAACAAAAATTCATTCTCACTGTTCTGTCAAAAAGGATCTTAAATTATGTTGAATCATTATTTTGTCAAGCAGTTTCTCACATTTGAAGGAAGAGCATTGTATATTCTAGGAGCCATATGGCTGGGACCATCGGTGACTTATTTTGAATTTTCCAAATGGAATTTGTTTCTGCCCCAAATATATTTCATCATTATTGTCGAATACTAGCATACTCAACTCTGATATGACTACACATGGTAATATTAATATTTTCAGTTTCTTGAATATATCTTTGTATGAATCAGATTGTGAAAACCCCGTCAACTCGTTACACCCTTTTTGGATATGGTGAAACCTCAGTGCTTGCATTTTCGAAGTATTTGAAAACAAGTAATTTGCTGAAAACCATTCATTCAAAGAAGTCAACACTCCATTGCATTTTTCACGCAAGGATGGGTCCATTTTTTCAGATATGATCAACGACGTATCATCAGCGTACATTGTCAAGAATGCAGGTACAAAAAGTTTATCCAAATCATTGATATAGAACAGGAACAGAATTGGCCCCAATATGGACCTCTGAAGGACAGTAATGTCTGTTTCAGTTTGTTGTGAGAAATGAGTGTTAATTGTTACATATTGTATGAGTATGAATAATTTTTGTCCAATCTAGAGGACAGCCTCCTAAAACCATGCTTATACAGTTTTTCCAGTCATATGTCGTAACTGGTACAGTCAAATGCCCTGCTGAGGTCACAAATGATCCCAATAGGGCACTCTTCTGCCTCAATATATTCTATTACTTTCTGATAATAAGAAAACACCGCAGTCTTCGTAGATTTTTTGTTCGAAATATCTATGTTGGTTTCTCGAAATCAAATCATATCATATTTCTAAAAAAACAATACTCGAATACTTTGGAAAACGTTGACGGTACTGTGACTGGTCAGTAATTTTCAAGGCTCTGACGACGACAGGTGTTCTGGTATCTGGTACCTGTAGAGTAGGTAGGGTGAGTGTAGACTCACAGCACCAAGGCGGTCACATGTGGCCTTGTAAATCCTCCCGAGGAGTTGTCCTCCTAGGTCTTCGTCCATCTTGTCCTTCCCAGGAAGGAGAACAGGTCACTAGGAGAACACACACTCTCTTTGGCAACCTTGAGGTGTCTCACGGTGGCCTCCGCGCAGGGTTTGGAAGGTTGCGCTGCTTCTTCAACCTTCTCGGGGTTCCCTCCGTGGAGGTGCACAAGTGAGGAAGCTTTTCTGCAGAGGCAGCCGGTTCCTTGCCTCTATTCAAGGCGGAGGTCTTGGCGCTAGCCGCAGGAAATGCCCCTGCTGTTGGAAGTGAACAGCTATGTCCTGGTTCATTTCAAGCGGTAGATTGGACTGGACATTTCTGTTCTACTCCAGCCACCGCCACAGTTCGAGGTGAGCACTTCTGTCCAGCATCGTGATTGGTTTTTGTTTTTCCTGTTTTTGTGTTGTTTCATTCATGTATTTCCACAAGTAGCAAGGGAAGAGTTGGTCACCTCTGGCAGAGCCCCGCATTACCACAGGTAGGCTGATTATAATGAGGTTCCGCCCAGTTCCCCAAGAAGATCGTTCGTGACCGCATATTATCTTGCGGCCATTCTGCTGTCGGCGCGATACACCTTAGCTTGGGTAGGCTGGTCCACGGTGGCATGTTTTGCAAAGGATTTTGGGGGGTTTTAGTTCCCCTCACCCTACTTATTTCTGCCACTGACCAGGAGTCCGGTGACCCCGTCCGTAAGACCACATTGGCTTCCCGGACAGGGCCTCCAGTCCCATGGCTGTTCCCCTATCCGCCACCTGGGGACGCGCCCGATAGATAGCCCAACCAAGGGGACGACAGGTGTTATTCTACCACATTTCAGCAATTCTGAAAAACTGCCAGAAGACAATGCGAGATTTACCATAAATGTGGTACAAGAAGTTCTGATTGGCACTTTTTCAATAGAATTGTGGGTACCTCATCTGATCCCGAAAAAAATTCATTTTTTAATTCTTGACAGAAGAAGAATATATATATATATTCACCATGTGAGTAAAAATGTGAATAACATGACTGAAAGTCTATAAATCTGAGAAATGAGTCTATAGGTCACTCTTCTCCTGACAAGGAAAATTTCTTCCATATCTATATTCATTGAGTGTCAACAAATCTGAGAAACAAGTATGTGAGTCCATGCTTTCAAAAACAAGTCTATAAGTCACCGATCTCTTGGCGAGTCACCCTTCTCCTGAGAAGAGGAAGTTATATTCAATGAGGCGTCACGTATCATGAAATCAGAAGAAGGTGGTTTTACGAATGAATTGAAACTTGTGAAATCAATACGCAGTAAAATTAACGAAAACGATGCTATATCGATTAGAGCAGATGAAGGCAACATTGTGGTTGCTATTGACCGAATCGACTATGTCATTGATTTCTTGAATTTAAGAAATTGTGTAATACTGAAACGTAATCCAACTATTTCTTCACAAAGACAAGTGAAAGATTTTTTGAAAAATTCAAACATACTTCTGTATGTTTGGGAAAAGTTCAAATTAGCATTGATGAACCCCCCAAATTCCAAAATTATACTCACTCATGAAACTGCATAAACAGACTTATTCAATTAGACCAGTGGTTTCCTTTGTCGCTGCATCATCAGTGAAATTATCAGAAAGGTTAATCAGTATCATCTTACATACCTCTACCAAACAACGCAAAATTACTATCCTTTGATGTGCAGCATACCTCCTGATGATTCTATTACTTCAGTAATAGAAGTGTTAGATAAAAATAAGCTTCTGGCTTCACGCCAGATGAAGCCATTGTATGGCGAAACACGTGTTGCGTTTTTGTAAAACAATTTAGTGAAAATCTCACAATAAAGTGTTTTTGGAATACGTTAGTTATGGATTTTCATCAAGTATCGGCCGATTCCATCATATATATAAAAAGTACATGGATGAAGTTAAGAAAAAAATTGATGCAACTTTGCAGAATCAAAGCGGTCGACATCAAAACCAAATGGCCCAAGTAAATGAAAATCTAACAAAAATGCGAGAGCAAGTAGATCAATGCCAACATCAAATAACTCAAGTTAATGATAGAGTAACAAAAATGAGTAATGATATTCAAGAACAGGATAATGTGAACAAACGATTTGACACTGAATTTCAGAAACTTTATACCAACTTTGTTCAAATGGTACAAAAAATATGGTATGCAATAACAAGGCGGTGGCGCGTTACAAAAAATTCAATCAGCAATATGTAAGTAATATTGAAAATATTCAAGCAGATTTGTTAAAGAAAATAACAGAAATTACCAATTTGCTTCATTCACATAACAAAACTTTGAAAATTAAACAAAACGACATGATGGAGCACTTTCAAGGTGATATCTCCAAATAAATTTCTGAAATAAATTCGGATTTAGCGAAGGTACAATCTGATATCAAGAAAATCAACAAAATGTCGTTCATAATAAATTAATAAGTTTAACATTCTCGACCATCAGTCCGTCACATGGCTTCCAAAGACAAGATTCAACTTGTTCGTGAACTGCATAAACCTATTAGAAAAAATTTTCGACGACGTCATACCGTTATCAAAGGATTGGATGATCTGTGGCAGATGGACTTGGCTGAGATGAGATCATTCGCTCATCAAAATTGAAATTTCAATCTCATTTCAGTTGTCATCGAATGTTTTCGAAATTCGTGTGGACTCGACCGCTAAAATCGAAAACAGGAAAAGATATCGTCAAAATATTTTCAGATATTTTGAAACATACGAAACGTTGTCCAAAAAATCTACAAATCGATCAGGGGATGGAGTTTTACAATGATAAATTTCAAACTTTAATGGAAAAACATGGAATAAATCACTCCAATACATATAGCATCATAAATGCTTCTATGGCTGAACGTGTCATAAGAACGTTAACCAAGAACCAACGAAAAACAAATTCTCAATTAAACATACTCCCACCTGGAAATAGCTGGGTCAAGAAAATTTAAAGTCGGTGATGTTGTGCGAATCAGTAAGGCGAAACACGTTTTCACCCAATTGGACTACGGAATTATTCAAAATTGTCAAAGTTAACATTACTAATCCCGCCACTTTTATGCTTGAAGATATGCATGGT